GGGCTATAATTTTCATTTTCAGGACAATCGTGAAACGTGGCTGGCTTTGGATAATTAGAAAAATGAAATTATTAGATACATTTATACAGATAAATAATCAGTCATATTGTCGTGATTGTATATGCAAATACCTGGGAATCGAATGTTTCTTCCATGCTATTATCTTGATCACATATGTCTTGTGATGTCATTGGCTAAAGACAGAAAAAAATACATTTTAATAACTTTGACGAAACTATAATTTCTACTGTAGTGCTGTATTTCACCAGGTTCATTCTTTTTAGCCTCCGTAGCAGACGTTCCAAGCGGTTCGATTCTCGCCCGCAGATTCTGCTCGCTCTTTTTACTAAAAGAATAGATCTGTTGCATTTCATATATAGTAAGTACCTCATTGTCTTTATTTTCCGTCTCTTGTACGCTAGCCAAATCACTTGCAGATTCAAGAGTTTCGACGATTTCAGAATCGGCATTTGCCGTATGTTCGTACGCGGATAATACTTCTTTGATTGTCTGGAAAATTGTAATGAAAACAACACATCAATTTACATAAGGTGATAGATTTCGGYGGCTTTGCCATTACTTATGACGAAGATTCAAGTTGATATAAAACTTTAGTAGAATTTCAAAACGCATGAATGTCAGKACAAGGATATTTTCTTATGCATAATGAAAAAATAATAAAGAAGTTTGATAATGACAAAGTCAACCGGGAAGTGCTTATATAAATGCGCGCATAAGTGATCCCCAAAATATTCGCGAACGCAAAATGGCAAAACTATTATTTAGCGTATTGATTTTTTAAAGATCTCCGATATTACGAAGCGTTTATACATGATAAAAAGTAGCTCATTATTTTAAATTATAAAAATTATAGTCTCTTACCTTGCGATGGCCTCTGGAGGTGACAGAAGTTTGCGCGATCGCCGAATCCTGCTCTGCCTTCCAAATTGTGGGAACTGATCYMGGGATCAGAACCCTCTTCACTCCAGGCATGTGTATTCCTCTCGTAAAGCATGAACCATGGAAATGATCAGAGCAAACCCCGAATTGCCCTTCTGGACTGAAATTTTTCCTGTGGATGTCTACAAACTTCTTCCACTTTGCGCGCATCTGACTGTTTGCCGGTGAACTATGGATCGAAATACCTTTTTCGCGATCAGCCTTGTTGCTGCAACCTTGYACAACACACCGTGTTGGTGGCATGGTTCTCAAACCGAGATATTTGATTTTTTGAAAGCGATGAAGAAGTTTTAAAGCAAAATAACCTGTACCAGTAGTGACTTATATATGCGGTGTGATATTTTGGTTGCGCGAACTACGTCACAAGTCCTCTTCCCATTCCCCCTCGGTCATTTTAATTTTATTCAACGGGCTTCGGAAAGAAACGACGAAAAATACATCTTTTAATGTGATTTTGGCTGAATTATTTTCAGGGATTAATATTTACATATTCGAGATTTGATTTAAGTGGTTTTCAAATTATTTCAGATTACGTCCATTTTGGTSACAGTGCAGCTTTAAGAGATTGTTWATTACATACTAATGATCACTTCTAGTTTGTAGATAATATTGATAATTTACAAAAGAAAACAATTTGTTTAGTGTTTACTACTAACATTACTGTTAGTTTGCCTATAATCCTTTCTCAGTCATATGGAAATCACTCTAATATTTTGTTTTACTGTGACTTTTTCATGAAGTTCTTGTTCACTTATTATAATAGTAAGGTTTATGATTTTTTAAGGTKGACATACAGTGTACTTTCAAAATGCTATATTGATTATTGTTAATGATTTTATAAAATTTAAGGTTGATATATTACTGGTTTAAAGTTTATTGTGCAAAATTATTATTAACATTGATTATAGTGAATGATTTTATCAAGGTTGACATACTTTATAATTTACGATTCAAAGCTGTTTAAAATTATTATATTGATTACCGTATAGTTACAGTGCGACTTCTGAAACTTGGGCAACTTGAATAAAACTGGTCAATAAGAAAACTGTAAAACCAGACAGAGTTTAGAGCTAATAACAGCGTTAACCAATCAAATTACAGTGTTTTCACGCTCATTAGAATCTGGACCTGAAACTGCAATATGATTGGTTAATGATCAATTTATCTAAGTGGCCCCAGTTTCGGTAGTTGTACTGTAATGATTTTATATAAAGGTTATGATTGATGTTTTCCAGAAAAATATGTAACTTTGTCAATTATTAAACTGGCAAGAATACAACCAAGGTCTAGCTTGTTTAATTACCAAAAATCTTCATACATGGTGGAGTTTTTTCTCATTATAGTGTCATTTTCATTTCACCATGAAAGATTAGTCAGACAAATATCTGGAAGTAGACCAAGGATGTATAATTTGTTTTCTTTTGTTCTTTATCAACAAATACTAACTAAATAGTTATTTTTGTTTCATATTCAAATGAAAATGACTCTAGTACACCATGTTTTATTCTTTCAACTGTATTCTTTTACCCAACAATAAAATTTAACCCTGTGCTTCATTTACTCTTTAGTATTTGTAGCACTGAAGTAATGAGTGCTGATTAGCAGAGTGAGTATGATCATTTTCTAATATTAAACAAAAGTCAAGTAGTTCTATCAAGGGAACTTTTCTGGTTTAATTGTCCACAGAGACTGAATGTAAGAAAACAGCTATATAAAGAACAATTTCCAAGGGCATCTAATTAGTATACAGCTATTTCAAAAAAGATTGAATACTGAATTTAGTGCATTCCAAGACCAAAGGGGATTATGGGTCTCTGGACTATCTCATTAATTTGGAATAAAAAGTAAACACAGTAGTTTACTCGTTATATGGAKCTAGTATATCAATTCTGATGGAATGCACTAAAAATGAAATAAATATTCACTTGAAACATGAAATGCTTTCCTTTTCTCTCTCTCTCTGTTTTTTAAATTGTCTAAATTAGCCGATTTTTATCCAACTGATTATGTATATACTAAAACAACTATTCCCCAAAGGGGAGGTGGACAGTGGGTGGATATATCCCTTGATTTGCATCTCGGGATTGATATATCCACCCGATATTCACCTCACCTTCAGGGAATAGTTGTAMATTATTCCCAAGATTTGAACTACTCTATAGTATTAAGTATTCAGTAATAACTTTTTCTGTAGCGTCAAAACAAAAATGGGGTAAGATGCACCCACTATAAAACATTTTCAAATTTGCCTGTTTTATGACAAGTTGTTGAGATGTGAAAGAATGTTTAAGTACAAATTTAAAGCTTCATTTGCATTCCTGGCATTAGTGAGACCCCCATCTTCCATAACCATTGTAGCCAACTCATTAAAATCTTGACTGCAACCTCTAATCAGTGATTCCTCACAACATATCTCATCTGCAATCTCAATGTCATCCTCACTAATATGGACTTTATASCACTGAGTATCTGTTGTTTMAGGMAAAAAATACAGCACATCCGGTATCCCATTTGGAGAATTTGGATTTGAACACTTTCGTATACGATGAGTGTTCCACAGTTTAGCAACACAGTAAAGTTCCTCTTGTATGATTGGCATAAAACAAAATTTCAGACACTCTACCTCCATTGGATTGTTATCATTATATTGCCCAGATTCTCGTAATTGCTTAAAAAAAGTAATCCACCAATCTGAGTTACTCTTCCTAAGGTGCGACCACCATGCTTCAATCCTTTGATTTGAGACAGATTTTCCATATAAGAAACTTTTCTCTCCAGCGAAAGCATCATCATCATCAGCCCTTACAAATCGTTGAATGTGGGCAATATTTCCATTCTCAGTGCCACAGTCACCCCTTACTATCCTGGGAACGCCTGACAATTGCCTCACACAATCAATGTAATATTTTGCAACTATGTTTGGATTATTGTTTGAAGAGCCAACCTCGAGCCAAAGTATTCGGCGGCTATATCCATCAATGGCTCCATGTATGCAAAATCCAAATGGTTTTAGTTTGTCGTATCCATCTAAATGCCAAATGTAATTTGGTCCTTTAGCAAAATACTGTCGGCGTCGTAACTTATGACTTGACCGGTTTTCAACCCTGGATCAAGTTCTTTTAATACCATACGGACAATTTCTCTTGATGTTACCATGGAATACTTGCTTCTTATAAGTTGATGCATTTGCCTGTAGCCTACACAGCTTCCGCTCCCTTTAATTTCCATTTCAATAGCATTAATGACCTCCATAGGATTGGACTGGTTCTTTCTTCTACTTAGGTTTCTCTCTTTCAAAATACGCTTTAACTGGCGAAGGCTTAAATGGATACCATGATATAGTGCCAAAAACGCTAGAATTTCCAYATAATCCAGACCTAACTTGAAATACTGTTGGATGACAATGTCTCGAGGCCTTTCAATCGTGTCAATGGTTGGTATGTAGGGGGGGAGGACGCACAAAGAAACACAAGAAACACCAGTATGTATTGCTTTGAAAAGGAATAAAAAAAATAAAAWAGGAGATTAGCTCAGTAAACTAGCAATATTGTAAAAGCAATCAATGAATCTCTACATTTCATACTGTAGCTAATGAAGTCCCTCCTAGATCTTTAATCCCATTCTCTAAGATAGCATAGAAATAGAATTTTAGTTAAGAGTGCCGTCTTTTGGTTGGTTCTGTGAGTACCGGAGCGAAAACATGCAGAGCACAGACTACGTAATTCAATAGAAACAAAAGCTCAAAACAATGGAGAAGACGCTAAACAATACCCCAAAATACAAAGAAACCTAAGCGTAATACAATAGATTCCGGTACTCATATAAAGACCCCGTCTCTTGCTCAAAAATCAAGGATAAAAAGGCTGTAATTACTCACCTTCGCTATTTGGTCGGCCATCTTGCTCTGATCCACGTGCTAACGGCCGTAGGGGCATGGGAGCTAGTAATAAAATTATCGCGCGATAATTTTTGTGTTATCGCGCGATAAATATTGTGTTATCGCGCGATAACTATTGTGTTATCGCGCTATAATTGCTGTGTTATCGCGCGATAATTGTTGTGTTATCGCGCGATAATTGTGCTATCGCGCGATAAATTCAAAACTTATCGCGCGATAAATGTAATGATTTTTTTGTATGTGCATGGCCCTTATGAGCCACCGTAGTCAACTGTATTACAGCATCTATTACCAGTTCGGACACTGGGCCAGGGATTGCACAGTTCCATACGCCAGTATCAACAGTGCTTCAGACAAGTTTAGATACCCTTCAAGGGACAACCGAGGAACAAGCGCAGCCAAGTAATGAGCCTAACTTCGTTGATGTTCTAACTCAGGTACATTGTGATAGTTTTACCGAYTACGAGTTCGAATCGGATTTGATTTCTGAAGTTCAAGTTAAGGTAATCTAAGGAAGCATGTTAATTTTTGGAAGGACATAGGAGCCTGCGATATTTTATTTTGGACGTTATTGAATCTGGTTACAAGTTACCGTTCGTGTGTTATCCCGATCATATTCATTTTAGAATCAAT